AAGGGTTTCTCTGTGTAGCCTTGGCTGTCCTGGAATTCACTCTGTAGAGCAGGCTGATCTCAAATTCAGAGATCTACCTGTCTCTGTCTCTCGGGTGCTGGGATGAAAGGCATGCACCACCACATCTGGCTGTATGTCTTTTTTGTTACCATTTAACATATTATCTCAGTAGGACCTCCTTTTAATGCTAAGAAGTATGCCTTGGGGAAGGAAAGAAGGAACCCAGTGGGAACCACTTGAAGGGAGGAATCTGCCAATTAATACACTCTCTCCCTCCTGTTCATCTTGCCAGCTATGTGACTGTAGCTCAGCCACCTGACCTCTTTGAGTTAGTTTTCACACTTGTAATACAGACAGTAACACCCATCTTTCCTAACTCACAGGACTGTCCTAAGGATCAGAAAGGATAATCGTATGTTAAAGTATTTCTGCAAATGTTTGCTATCATCCTATAGGTTTGTGACCATTAAGGAAAACCATCAAAGAAAGGTCTTCACCCTTATCCCTTCCTTTATGCCAACTCACCTGCAACTTTGAGGGCACTCTGGGCTGTATGAGTGATGGGAGAGGTGACAGCCACTGGTGGGGTCTTGCCCTTCTTCAGGGACCCTGGGTGTCCCAGGCTGATGGGCTTTTTCAGTTCTCCACCCTTGGAGGAGTCATCACAACTTTCTGGCCGCTCTCTCCGCCACTTTGAAGTCCCAGGTTCCATCTTCAGGCTGCCACTGTCGTACTCCAGTTTTTTGGGGGCCTTCTCCTCTGATTCACTAAACCAGTTCAGCCCACTTTCTGCCAGAGAGCGCTTCTCTGAGTCTGTGCGTAGCTAATAAGAAAAGGGCAGAGAAAGGCACTTACACAGGTGTGGAGGAATGGTGGGCTGAAGGGTTTTGATTATTCTATAGTGTTAAGTCAACTAGCCCTCCATCCTTAGTGTTCCAGAGAGAAGACACTTATCTAAGTATCTCTAGGGTACCTTTTCTTTTCCAATTGGAAAAACTTCTCCCCCCTCTCTCTGTTTCTCTCTCTCCTCCCCACCCTCTCTCTCTTTTATCTGTGTAACAGCTCTGGCTGTCCTGGAACTCACTTTGTAGACAGGCTGGCCTCAAACTTACAGAGATCTGCCTGCCTCTATTTCCAGAGTGTGTGGATTAAAGGCATGAGCCACCACTGCCCAGCTGGAAAAACTCTTATATGTATCACTCTAGATAGGCATGAGCACAAAATACAGTCACAATGACTCTATTTACAACATTTACACAGATCTTGCCCCATTTGTTTTGTGATTCACCTTGACCTGGTGGCCCATGTTTCCAAAAATCACATACCACTATTGTAGAGCTCCTGCGGGAAGCAGTAGGAGTAGTAGGGAGGGAGTTGAGTGAGGAGCTAGCATTGAACTCTTCTGAGCTGAGGTTGTCTGAGGCATCGCTGAGCCCACTGCTGATGGAACTGCTCTCATCCCAGCTGCAGGACAGGAGGGAGAGAAGTGAGCAGTTGAAACTGAAGCCAGTGCTAGAAACAGCATTTCACATAGATGATGAGTGGTTTTATCCCGAAAAGAAGAAAGTTTGGGGTTAGTCCTGGGTTTGTCAATAATTCAAGGTGTGACTTCAATGTTCTTGTTTTTTTTTCCTAGCCTTTTTAAAAATTTAAATTAGAAACAAGCTTCTTTTACATGCCAATCTCAGTTCTCTTTCCCTCCCCTCAATGTTGTTGTAATTGGTGATATTCTTTTATAAAAGGAAGAGGTTGAGCCAGGCGTTGGTGGCGCACGCCTTTGATCCCAGCACTCGGGAGGCAGAGGCAGGTAGATCTCTGTGAGTTCGAGACCAGCCTGGTCTACAAGAGCTAGTTCCAGGACAGCCTCCAAAGCCACAGAGAAACCCTGTCTGGAAAAAACAAAAAAACAAAACAAAAAAAAGAGGTTGATGTTTAGCAAGAGACAATCTTTATATTTCTTAGCAGGAAAGCTGCATTACAAAGACAAGGAAGGTCTGCTGAAATGGTGCCATGGGTCAGTCACTTGCTATCCAAGCCTGCCAACCTGAGTTCAACTGTAAAGATGGAAGGAGAGAACCAACTCCATAAAGTTGTCTCCTGACCTCCACATGTGCAGTGTGGCATGAACACACCCTACACACATCATTTACACACACAACAGCAATACATAACATTAAAAAAAAGACAGGGCATTTTTAGGTCTATATAATTATGCATACCAATTCCTATGTAAACAGCTTTCATCCTTACACTCAGGTTCATTTTTTAGATGTATTTTCCAGAGGCATCCCTGAACTTTCTAAAACTTTCTATACCTGGTAACAGGCCAGCCAAGACCTCTCTGTTCTTTTTGCTGTGCTGACAACTGAACCTAGGTAAGCTTTCTACTACAGTTATCTCTTCAACCCAGACTCCTTGTTTCCAGAACTTTCAGTCCTGTCCCTTCTCATTGCTTCCCTGGAGTCAGGCTCTGCTCCTGAATAGCACATCTGTTCCTCTAGTAGACCGATAGCCCTAGAGTGCTGTGCCAGACAAAGGTACTATATTCCTGCTTAACAACCACTCAGTTCATGGTTAATTTAATATCTATCTATCTATCTATCTATCTATCTATCTATCTATCTCAGATGTAAGGTACTGAGGAGATGTGTCCAACATCTGTACTTAAAGTATATTTGAAGACCCAGGCCTATGTGCAAAATGAACTTTCTATGCCTTGATCTCTTCTTAGCTCAGTCCTTGCACCCTTCCTCTGTTGGATTTTTGTTGTTGGTGGTGGTGGTTTTGGTTTTTTAAGACAGGGTTTCCTGTGCAGTCCTGGCTATCCTGGAACTCACTTTGTAGATCAGGCTGGCCCTCAAACTCAGAGATCTGCCTTCCTCTACCTCCCGAGTGTGATTAAAGGTGTGCACCACCACTGCCGACCCTCTGTTCATCTGTTCAATTAACAATTTAACAAGCTGTAGTCAGGAACTTCATTTATTTATTTAGGTTTTTCGGGACAGGGTTTCTCTGTGGCTTTGGAGGCTGTCCTAGAACTTAGCTCTTGTAGCCCAGGGTGGTCTCGACCCCACGGGGACCCCCCTGCCTCTGCCTCCCGAGTGCTGGGATTTAAGGTGTGTGCCACCACTGCCCGGGCAGGAACTTTGTATTTTTAAAGTAAGTTTATCTAAATGTCTAAACCAAACAGCAACTTCTGCATGTCTACCACCTTCTCGATCTTTGCATGTTAGGCACAGGCTTCTGTTAGACCATATTCACTAGTGTGTATTTGTGTTACCAGGGATAGAACTTAGGGCCTCATACATATTAAGCTTATGGTCTACCACTGAACTATATCCCCAACTAAGTAACTTTCTTCCTTCATTTCTCTTTCTTTTAAAAAATCTGAGACATGGTTTCATTAAGTTGCCAAGGTTAGCTCTGAACTCACCAGATAGCTCAGATGTCCATCCTTCTGCCTTAGCCTCTTGTGTAGCTGGAATTATAAACCTGGGCTACCAGGCTCCGCAATGATCACGGTTTTCTAAGTTCAAAATTTACCTCTTAGGACCCTTCTTAAAGGTTTTCTATTCCAAGCACTTCCTAGAATGATCTTTAGCCTTCACTTTGGTTTGTGATTCTTGAATTGAGCACAAAGGTTCCATAAGTTTGCTACATGTGAGTGTCTATTTGTGCCTTAGGAATTAAACTCTAAGTCATATCTGTTCAGAATGGGTTTGTTTATCAGCTTTGCATGTGTACTGAAGAGGCTGGAGACTGTGTGCGTGAATTTGCCGGTTATTTGGAAAATGTTTCTTTTTTGATTTATTTTGAATTTCAGATCATGGAACAAAAATCAGACATACAAGTCATTTATGAGCTGGCCTGGATTTCTGCTGGCTTCCCTCTAATTCATGTGCTGGGAATAAGAAAGTGGGTGGTTTGGCCATTTGGCTTGGTTGCTCTGTAGTGAGTTAGCCAAATACGTTGAGAAACAGCAGAGAAAACATTGGGATTAGGACACATTGCCCAGTTATTTAGACTTTACTACTATTAAATATAGCCGTTACTGAATGACCCCTGCGCCATATATTAAGTCTCCCTTTTATCCAGGGTTGAGATACCACACACCCCTTTTTGCTGAAAAAGGAGACTGAGGAGAGATCAATGCTGATTTAATGATCCTATCAACTCTTATGGGCCCAGATAAGATCTCTGGCAGGCAAACAAACAAACCATTCACAGCATGTTCTCTTAGGTCAGAGACAGAGTAAACCTGGAGTACTGAATCTTTCATCTGAGATTAATTATTAGTAATCAAAGGCCTGCAGCAGGGACAGCTCTCTGTGGAAAGAGCTCTGCAAAAATGGAAGACCGCAGCAGTCCAGGAATCTGGAATGAACCTTCATTTACTGGCCATTATGACAAGACCAATGCTAAATGGCAGCAAGGAGTTTCTTTTTCTTCTTCTTCTTTAAAAAGTAATTAATTTCTCATTTACTTTATGTGTATGAATGTTTTATATGCATGTATGTCTGCACAGTACATACATGCATGGTGCTCCCAGAATCTGGAAGGTGTCAGAGTTATAGACAGTTGTAAGCTGCCATGTGGGTGCTGGGGATTGAACCCAGGTCCTCTGGAAGAGCAGCCAGTGCTCTTAACCTCTGAGCCATCTCTCCAGCCCCAAACATTTATTTTCTAGGAGAGAGTTCAGGCCCTGCTTCCCCAAAGCCATTCCTGCTGAGCTCTTTTCTACAATGAAACATAAAAACCTAAAATCACCAGGGAAAGCTAGCTAGGAGTTAAAAATTTTCCCAGCAATTTGTAGGGCGTGCAAAACAACAACAACAACAAAAAAAAAAAAAAAAAAAAAAAAAAAAAACAAACTGCTGTCATTACCTAAGGCTTAAATGTCTCTACCAGGGGTTTTCCACTGAAGGGAACATATTTCTTTAAAAATGTTTGTCTGATCTTGGAGTTACAGACAGTTGTGAGCTGCCATGTGGGTGCTGGGAATTGTACCCAGGTCCTCTGGGAGAACAGTTAGTGCTCTTAACCACTGAGCTATCTCTACAGCCCAGACTAACTTCTTTTAACTGTTTTGTGTGTTTACTTATATGATCTGGCCACCTCTGTCCTTTGCCAGTTAGCTGATGCTGCAAGACCACACCTTCATACCTACACACCTGCTACCTAACTTAAAGCTGGGGCTTCTCTCCTGTTTTTTTTGTTTTGTTTGTTTGTTTTTTTTTTTTCCGAAACTATCTTATGAATCACCTCTTCCAATAGGCATCTAGGAAAGTCACGTGTAGGGGTGAGCTCTCTCCTACAGTGTTGTTTCTGCTGCCTTGCATTCTGCAGACTGGCTGGTTCCTGGAGGGAGAGCCTCCTGTCTCTACCTTCCATCTTGCCTTAGGAGTGTTGGGTTTACAGACACTAGCCACCACCACCGTTTGTCTTTTTGTTAGTTCTGGGGCCCAACTCAAATCTTCAGGCTTTTGTGGCAAGTGCTTTTAGCCAGTAAGCCATCTTGCCAGCTTTTTTCTACTTCTTTTTCTTCTTAAGACAGCCTCTTGTGTCTAAGCTGGCCTTTGACTCATTGTGTAGCTGAGGATGGCACTAAACTTTTATCCTCCTGTCTCTGCCTCCCAAGTTTTGCTTCTGATGGTTTTCCCTTTATTTTTCAATTCTCTTCTAAAATGTCTTTTATAAGAATGGAAAAAAATCCCATAAATTTATCCTCTCTCAGACTTATAATTTGTTACAATATTTTTAATTTCTAAGGGTCCTTTTAAAAACAATGCATCTTTCTTTTCTATCTCCCCTCAGCTCTCACACACATTCTGAGAGCTCATTCACTCATCTGGAAGGGAGGCTTACAGTCTTTTCTCAGATTCTTATACACAGTACTTTGCTCTATTTTCATTGGTTACCTCATGCCAGCTTGCAGTCCACAGTGAGGCTATCAGTGATAAAACATACTGATAGGATTCTCTTAGAATTTTCTCATGTGTCTAATGGTGTGTGACTGTTCCTGTGTAAGACAGGGACACTAGCTGTTGAAGAGAACACAGTGCACCTAGGGTAGGACTTGCCATCTACAGGACAGTAAGTACGATTGAGTCACTTCAGTACTTTTCTCTTGGGTTGGCCAGACTTTCTCGAGACAAATCTTCTAAACTCTAGCTTGAGAGTCAAAGTCCAGTGTTCTGAACACTGAACTGGAGAAGCAGCATGGAGATTTCAACAGTCCACATGCAAAATTTCATTCATTCCCTATTGTGCTGACTTGTGTTAAGAATCTAGGAGTTCACACTCCAAAGACCCCTGTTTTCCTCTATCCAGAGATGACTGCTGATGAAGAAGAAAGGCTGCTGGAGGAGAGGACAGGAGAGTCTGTGCGGTTTTTGCAGTTTTAACTAGTCCTGTTTTAGTCTTACTGCCAACCCCATAAAGGTGGCTAACACTATCACTTGCCA